GTGTGATGTATCATAAAAAAAACAATGTCCAAAAACAATGTTTAAGGGTGGACCACCCTTAACATTTAGGGGGGTTAGAAATAAATGTTGTCCGATTCTCAGACCTACTGAATACGCATATAAAATTTCACGGAAATTGGTCGAGCCGTTTCGGAGTAGTTCAATCACGTACACCGTGACACGATAATTTTATATATTAGATTAATTATGGTAAAAAAACTAAAAGGAAAACAAATTTAAATGTGAAAAAAACGACGACGAATTAGGTTATTTCGAAATGTATTTCAAGTACCTGTGAATACCAGTGCCAATGTATGTCATCAATGAAACCAGAATTGGATTCGATTCACGTTTTTTGCATCTTCCTTAACACTGTCTCTTTAAAGATCCACAGAGGCGATGATTGCATTTGAGCGTTAATTGAACCAATTGTGCGATCCTACTTCTTTGCAGTGGGGCTAAGTGCACAGTCTCTGATTACATTCTGGCTGAGATTTTCTTTTTTGAATTATCACTTCAGATTAATCCTCTGGGTAATCCAATACGATGCCACGTTAGCCGAGATGAAAATGCTCATTGCTGAACATTCGCTTAATGTCTGTGCACTCACTCAATGTAAAATACTGTTGGATTTAATTAAAGAAGACGAAAGAGGGAGTTTCCTTAATGATATTTCCGATTGAGCACTTTTGTCATTTTGATTTGGTTCACTTTTGTTTTAGTAGGCTTTAAATAGGTGCCAAAAAAATAAGTTTATGGATTCTACAATAATGTCGATTAAAACATAGTCCTGTTATTAAAATACTTGGTAAGTGTTACTTGTCGTATTTATATTCTACGTTATTTTGAAAAGTTCCATGTTAGGATTTGTTCCTTAGACCTGCTTACAGAAAATTAGCTTAATCTCGATTCAACTAACACTATCTTTATTCCATAGAAAAATGGCAAAACGTTAATGTCAATTTGACATCGCTGTATGGACTGAATCTTCTTCTAGTTAAATTGAGATTTAGCAAATTTGCTGGAAGTGGACCTTAATGTTTGGATATTATTACCAAAGATTGAAATATTTGGTTATTACACATGCCATTGCTAATACCGCAATAATAGTTAAAGTCCAGATTCGATCGATTCGATTCGAGCTGGTGGTTTGTGACCCAGACATGCTCGTGAACGGGTGAAGTGGAGATGAGTCTGCCCAAACTTCCTTGATATTGAAGATGTTAATGCCTAGTTACACTTAATATAAATAACAGTATTTGTAGAAAAAATTCCACGCGGACCAGGCAGCAGACGGGACTCGAACCCGCACCCTTCGCAATCCGGGCGAATGCACTGACCAATTATGCTACCGCGGCCCTCACGGACCGTGTCGAAATTCTTTCTAGCTATTCTTAAGCTGCAAGGCAGCGCCATCTCTTCGCATTATAGGTAAACCCACAATGTCAAATGAATACTTTTACAAGTATTAAACATTTGAAAGAAGAAATAGCAATTATAGTTATAATTTTTATTATTTTTAAAGCATGTAACTGCTTGATGTTTAAATCTAAAGAAAATATAACTAGAAAAAATTCCACGCGGACCAGGCAGCAGACGGGACTCGAACCCGCACCCTTCGCAATCCGGGCGAATGCACTGACCAATTATGCTACCGCGGCCCTCACGGACCGCGTCGAAATTCTTTCTAGCTATTCTTAAGCTGCAAGGCAGCGCCATCTCTTCGCATTATAGGTAAACCCACAATGTCAAATGAATACTTTTACAAGTATTAAACATTTGAAAGAAGAAATAGCAATTATAGTTATAATTTTTATTATTTTTAAAGCATGTAACTGCTTGATGTTTAAATCTAAAGAAAATATAACTAGAAAAAATTCCACGCGGACCAGGCAGCAGACGGGACTCGAACCCGCACCCTTCGCAATCCGGGCGAATGCACTGACCAATTATGCTACCGCGGCCCTCACGGACCGCGTCGAAATTCTTTCTAGCTATTCTTAAGCTGCAAGGCAGCGCCATCTCTTCGCATTATAGGTAAACCCACAATGTCAAATGAATACTTTTACAAGTATTAAACATTTGAAAGAAGAAATAGCAATTATAGTTATAATTTTTATTATTTTTAAAGCATGTAACTGCTTGATGTTTAAATCTAAAGAAAATATAACTAGAAAAAATTCCACGCGGACCAGGCAGCAGACGGGACTCGAACCCGCACCCTTCGCAATCCGGGCGAATGCACTGACCAATTATGCTACCGCGGCCCTCACGGACCGTGTCGAAATTCTTTCTAGCTATTCTTAAGCTGCAAGGCAGCGCCATCTCTTCGCATTATAGGTAAACCCACAATGTCAAATGAATACTTTTACAAGTATTTTAAACATTTGAAAGAAGAAATAGCAATTATAGTTATAATTTTTATTATTTTCTTTAGATTTAAACATCAAGCAGTTACATGCTTTAAAAATAATAAAAATTATAACTATAATTGCTATTTCTTCTTTCAAATGTTTAATACTTGTAAAAGTATTCATTTGACATTGTGGGTTTACCTATAATGCGAAGAGATGGCGCTGCCTTGCAGCTTAAGAATAGCTAGAAAGAATTTCGACGCGGTCCGTGAGGGCCGCGGTAGCATAATTGGTCAGTGCATTCGCCCGGATTGCGAAGGGTGCGGGTTCGAGTCCCGTCTGCTGCCTGGTCCGCGTGGAATTTTTTCTAGTTATATTTTCTTTAGATTTAAACATCAAGCAGTTACATGCTTTAAAAATAATAAAAATTATAACAGTATTTGTATTTGTACAAGTTTTTTTAGATAGGTCCGACAAATCACTCCACCTCATATTAAGTGACGGTGAACTCCAGAGGTGAAATTAAACAAATTAAGGTAAACAATTAATGTGTATTTAATCATTATTTAATGAACTTCATGAATCATCGCTGAAGTCATTTTTCAACTTGACGACTCTGTAAATAATAAAACAGGGAGAAAAAAAACAGCCATTGCTGAGTTTCTTGCCGATTTTTCTTAGTACAAGGTCTCCCGGCGTAGATTTACGAACCGATGGCGTAGTTTCTAGACATTCATGAGTACTTGTAACAGCCTGAACTGAATAAATGATTATGATTATGATCCCCAGTCGTGATAGCAGGAACGTATAAGAATAGTCGTGGAGGTTCCCATCTACATGGAATCAACAACAGAGCTGATGCGGCTTGTGAAGCGGCTGAAAAAGCAAAAGCAAGCAAATACAGGGGTCTAGGCTCCGAATATGATTTTGTCCCGTTCGGTGTCAAGACCCTTAGTCTGTGGGGTCCCAGCGCTTTAAGGCTATTTAAGGAAATAGCAAAAAGGTTAGTCGACATCACAGGAGACAGAAGAGCTGGCAGCTACCTCGGACAAATAATTAGTCTAGCCATTCAAAGGGGTAACGCTGCCAGTATCTTCGGATCCTTGTCTAAAGGGACTACTTTTAATAATATATTTTAGTTATTAATTTGATTTTTTAAGGTTTTTAGTTTTATTGTTCTAGTACATATATATATATATATATATATATATATATACAATCTAATTACATATTTAACCTATATATATATATATATATATATAGGTTAAATATGTAATTAGATTGTTATCTTAGAATATTTTCGTTGTAATATTATACAATAAATATAATTTTAAATGTCTTCTATAGCAGGAAAACATAAAACATGTATCTGTCTTTGCTTGTCCTAGATTGCTTGTCCAAAGTACAATCCGAATACATCTAATACATATTTATTTACATTATGTATTATAGTGAATGAGTTAAACTGCAGACCCTAGTATACTGTTTCCAATTAAGAAAGGGAGGGTACACCGCTCATTTTCGTACATGCCCATTTATTCCCAATCAGACTAAATTATTTGTGATGTGACTATTAAGAGATCGGAACAAGTGTGAGTCGGACTCGAGCACGGACATAAACGACCGTATTTTTTTTTATGTTTTTAACCGCTTCAGGGGTAACCTTTATGTTAATTAAGAAATTTGATTTTTACACAACTTCAGGGGAGCGTAGAAGTAAACGAGTATATGATTTAAATTACTGCTCGATAGTTCCAAACGTTCCCTAGTTAAAGTGTCTTGACAGCAAGACACAGACGGACAGAGAGTGATCCTTTAAGGGTTTAGTTATTTTCTTTTGAGGTACGGAACTAAAAAGAACTTCATTTGTGAAAACTTTAAAAACTACAACGACAAAGTCGCAGCGCACTCCGGGAGAGACCGGTTGTGACCTAAAGCCACGGAGCGGAGAGTCATTGCGCACCGGCTCTCGTAGCCGCTTCGCAACTCTGTATTGTCTTATGTTTACCATTAAGTTTTTAAACTTATGATATAGTAATTATAACTTAACTTCTCAATATATTCGCCGCGCCCCTCCCGGTGTGCGCTGCGCCAATGAAATATAATAATGTCACCTATGACTGAGGCAAGCGTCGGTATTTCGAAATTGGAAGCTTACTTTTAAACATCCAACCAAATTTTAAAACAGACCTCTCTGTACCACAATACAGTAAATGCTGCCCTATTTTACACGAAAGTACTGTACTTTTTGACCTCATGATTTCAGTCAATATTTTTTTAATCTGTGTTTTCTATACTAAGATAGAGAGAATAAGAAGACTCCATACTAAGATTGATTAGGCTAGTGGCTCGGCAGCGGCCGGCGAAGCGCCAATATTACTTCGTTAAATTCAACAAAAAAAAATAAGTGCCAACTACTAGACCTAGAAAGTATAGTTTTACCCGAAAGTATAAACCGACTCATTGAATTCCAATTTAAGTTCGTCATAACCCGTAGTATGTATCTGTAAGTATATTTAATTTTGTCACGTCGTATCTATGTGACATAAACAAGTTAGTTTACATGAGTTACGGCGTCCGAAATGAAGGAAAAAAGGAAGTTAAAGAATAAGTACCAATTCGGTTTCATTTAATTTTATTATGAGTTGAAAATCAAGCGACAGCGATTACCGCAGATGTCGTGATTGTTGGTGAAATGGTGGCGGCAAGAAACGACGGCGTAGTGAATTGAAACATTACTAACTCGTAAGTCACGATCGTGCCTGCAATCTGAAAAAAATATCATCATCATCAGCCTATTAATGTCCCCACTGCTGGGGCACAGGCCTTCCCTAAGGATGGAATAGGGAGATTTGGCCATGACCCACAACGCAGGCCCACTGCGGAATGGTGGGTCTTAACGACTACAGACGCAGCCGGGACCATTAATTAACGTGCCTTCCGAAGCATGGAGGAACTCGAGATAGTAAATTTTTGGTCACCCATCCAATAACCGACCACTGCGAAAGTTGCTTAACTTCAACGATCGCAGCCGAACGCACTAACCACCTGCGCCATCGATCTACTCTACTATACTGAAGAAATATGTATTGGAATATTTGTGAGTATTGTTGAGACTGTTAAGCAATGTAATTTTTATAAGTAAAATATTACCCTATTTCTGTTACTCTGTCGTTTTTCAGTTTGTTTGTCTATCCGTATGTCACGGATCTGTAGATAGTAAACGGATTAAGTTAAACAAATGAAATTGTGGTATTTTGTGTACAATGATTGCCCACAGCCGAATATTTAGTTGAAAGTTCGATTTAATTATTTTTCATATTTTATTTTTCATGAAAAGGAGACGACTTCATCTTTTTTACCTAAGCATGTGACCTATCACTGACTTGGTAGGATATAAATACTTTTTTTTTCAATAACAAAGAAATGGGTGCCTTCAAAGTTGTCATTGTCTCCAAATAGAGACAAGTTAAAAATGTAAAACTTTGGTATTGATGTCCCATAATATACTGTAAAATGCCGATTCATATTCTACTTTGTAATTGGTAACGAATACATACAAAAAAATGATTCTACAGAACAGCGACCTATCTAATAAAACGAGGCCAGACTCGCGGTTGGTAATATTTTTTAATTATTTAAGTGATAAACTTTTAATTATTATTGTAAGGTGTAATCTTACCCACCAAAGTATTTTATAAATTCATTCAATTTGTTGATTATGATTACTGCCTTTTGATGTTGTTGTGTTTCTGTCGGTGATTAAGGTTCCTAAGGAGCAATTAGTTCCGTAGGAACCTAAAAGGTATCTATTTTGACTTCGCGTCATATTTCGAATGAACCTATTCCATAAATAAGCTTCATAAGTAATAACTAATTACGCTAACATATTGAAAGAAAAGGAAAATAAGAATTTACCGTCAAAAGCAAAGTCCTGGTGATACTGAAGAATTGTAAGCCAGTCAAAGCGACCGTATCCCCGTGAACTTGGTCCAAAAGCCTCTGCACCTGTCTTAAGAATGATTGAATAAATCTCCCATATTTTCATCTCTGTACAGTCTGTATTTTTTAATAAAGCGACTAAGATAAAACAAAATTATTAAGTTAACATGTGACTTTTTTCAATTTGTTGTCTATATGTAATTTAAGGTTCAATCAGTTGGTGAAATTGAGCTTATGCTGAATTTTAACGTTATTTTTTAAACATCTTGAGTATTAAATAAGTTGAATTAATTCTAGTACTTTGTTTTGGATAGTGTGGTGGGCAGAAAAGATATTGCTCCTGGTATATTTGGCGCAGAGTACACCGGGAGAGGCGCGGCGACTATAACCATGGACTGGCCGCTTTGCAGCGCTGTGCGCCACTTGTGTATTGTTTCACGTTTGCCATGATATTATGAAAGTTACGTTCTTATGATATAGAAATTAGGGTTTCACTCAAATTGTTATCTCATTAGTGTCTTCGCCGCATTTCTCCCTATGTGCGCTGCGCCTGAGCACAGGCCTGAGTCTTATGTCATCGAGACTTTTTATCTCTGTGGTTCAATCATGGACGAGGAATCTCGCTAAAACGTCTTTGGTTTAAAAGTATGCTCATCATTGTGACATCGCAATATGGCCACATATTAATACCAACGACATCTGGGTGACGTGCCAGTCATTCGGTCCCTGCAAAAGGAGTTACTTTTTGTTGCCTGTAAAGTGATAGTAGGCGATAAAGACGAAAATTACTTTATGTAAAAGGCACATATCTAAAGAGATTTTTCTATTTATAACATGGTACCTTTCCTATAACTAATAAAGCGTTTGTATTACATTCTATCAAAAATAATTATAAGATATAAAAATCGGTCTATGTGTGTGTGTGTGTGTAAGTATTGTATGTGTGTGCCTGGGTGTGTGCCCGTGTATGTGTTTGTGTGTAAATGTTATATGTATATGTGTGCGTGCGTGTGTGTGTGTGTATATGTAACTTAAATTAACGCATAATTTTAGCAAAGACATGATTTTAAAACATTCTCAGCTTGATTATATTCCAGACACTTCAACCATTCTGTCAGTACTTTTTTGATTTATTTTGATGTCATTCAATATATTTTTAAGCATTTGTTTATTTTATTATAAATCAAAGAGAACAGATACGAAAACTGATATTGCGCAAATCGAGACGGAACATATGTAGAGGTGCTATTTTATAATCTCTCCTACTTACTACGTTATCGGGTTAGTATTCTATAGACTTGTGTTTCTTTATAACAGTATATTGAATGTAAAGCTACCTAACACAAGTAAATAGGAATTTCAATATAAAAGCTAAGCGTAAGTAGGTTGGTATTTAGGCTCCCAGCAATTTTGGCTAGTCCTTATTCGGCTTTATTCTTTTCGAAACTCCACGACTTTCCAGTAAAAACAATGGCGGTGTCATCTGCGTAGAAGAAGATCATTGTATGTGGGATTGTCATGTTGCAAAGGTCATTAATATAAACTAGAAAAAGTGTTGGTCCCAGCACACTCCCTTGTGGGACGCCGCAGTTTATACTAGCTGCCCTAGTATACTCTATTTATAAATCTTCTTTAAATTTATAAATCTAGCAGCATGCTTAATAATGAACCTATTAATGTCCCCACTGCTGGGGCACAGGTCTTCTCCATGGATGGAATAGGAAGATTGGGTCGTGAGCTACCACATGGGCAAAATGGGTGGGTGCCAATGACAGCAGGTGCTGCTGAGACCAACGGCTGAATGTGCCTTCCGTAGCACTGAAGAGCTTGAGATAAAAAGTTTTTGGTCACCCACCCAATCGCAGGCCGAATGCGCTATCCAACTGCGTTATCGATCACAAAACTCCACACAGTAGACCGGTGAACGTACAGTGTACGGTACAATACCGTCACGGAGCGAGCGATCAGGTACACAAGTGAAAACAATAAGTATAAAGCCACTTTGGACCCGCCCTTTTATAAAGTCCTTAACCCGATTAGGTACGAACCTCAACGCAGTAGACCGGTGAAGGCACAGCGTACTGTACGCGTGCTGGCACCAACGAAGCTATGTTAATCTGCGACGCAATCATGGACACCGCCACGGAGCGAGCGATGAGGTACACCAGTGAGAACAAGAAGTATACCGTCGCTTCGGAACCACCCTTATATAAAGTCTGGTAAAATCACGAACCTCCACGCCGTAGACCGGTGAAGGCATAGCGTACAGCACGCGCGCTGGCACCAACGAAGCTATGTTGATCTGCGACGCAATCATAGACACCGCCACGGAGCGAGCGATGAGGTACACCAATGAGAACAAGAAGTATACCGTCGCTTTGGAACCACCCTTATATAAATTCCGATACAATCACGAATCTCCACGCAGTAGACCGGTGAAGGCACAGCGTACAGTTCGCGCGCTGGCACCAACGAAGCTATGTTGATCTGCGACGCAATCATGGACACCGCCACGGAGCGAGCGATAAGGTACACCAGTGAGAACAAGAAGTATACCGTCGTTTTGGAACCACCCTTATATAAATTCCGATACAATCACGAACCTCCACGCAGTAGACAGGTGAAGGCACAGCGTACAGCACGCGCGCTGGCACCAACGATGCTATGTTGATCTGCGACGCAATCATGGACACCGCCACGGAGCGAGCGATGAGGTACACCAGTGAGAACAAGAAGTATACCGCCGCTTCGGATCCGCCCAGGAGTGAGGAGCTATAGAAATAAAAAGCTTTCGTGTATGTACATCACAATCAGTAAATAAAGGGCTTGATCCTTGTCTGATTGCCTAAACCTAAAACCTAATAGTAGCAGTAGGTATATCCTTCCTTAACATGTTCTATATAATAAAACAGACAATGAGATAGGGAGACTGATTTCAATATTATTTTCAAGATTAGACACTTATGCTGAGTGAAGTTTCCTGGTATTTCTTTATATATGTAAATCTAACAGATCAATGCCTAAAATAATATATAATTAATCAAAATGTGTAAATTAACAATGCAGGGACGTATAAAGAAAATTTAGCTAGAAAAACTTCCATGCAAACCAAGGGGTTCGAGTACCGTTTGCTGCCTGGTCCACGTGGAATTTTTGATTGTAAATGAACTTATTGTCTACTTTTATTGTAAATGAACTTATATTTCTATCTTTAAAATCCCTTTATCATCGGCTTATGATTTCCCCATTCCTTGGGAATAAACTTGCCGAAACTTGGAGGAGCTCTAAATAATACATTTAAAACAAACCGCTGCGAAAATACTTAATATTGCTCATGCAATATAAATCACAAAAAATATTTAATAAAAAACAAATATGTAGGTATATACTATGAGATAAAACGTACTTGCTGAATCGCCCGCTACACTCCCCCGTTCCTTTAATACCGTTCCTGCAAACAAAACAACAAGCGTATCTAATTAATTCAAGTAACTGTTGAAAGGAGGCACGGAAGAATTTAAGTAGTGTTCCTAACGTTCTATCGTGACGACGACGATTATTCGGTTCAAATTTATATTTTTTGTCAAAAATTAAGTCGGGGATAGTCATGGTGGGAATTGTTGGAGTTCGCTCGTATTAGAATACTTTAGGAGGTATCCTCCAGCTTTCATCAGAATCCGTGAAACTTAACCTATTTTATAGTTTCTTCATCAGTGAAGTCGATTAAGTCGACAGTACTGAATGGCACGAGGCATGGTTCAGTACCCTTAGTATGAACGAATATTGAATTCGAATAATAGAATTCGATCTTGATACTCGTCAAAGATCAAAGTTTTTTGTATGGAAATTTGAACGGCGCAGCGGCACAACGAGATGTAAAAATATTCGCAAAAGTTATTTCTCTTTTTTTTTATTTTTAGAGTAAGTTACATTACTTACTCTAACGTGTTGTAGAGTTGAAGACAGATGAAGAACAGATTGCTTGCGAATGAAATTAATACGATGCCGCTGATCACCTCGTCGACTCTTCGCACCAGCTGTGTGATGCGACAGTAGTCTTGGCGGATCGTCCTCCAAAATATTTCAGGCAGATACTGTAAAATATTACATGTACAGCAAAACTGGGAGACTTATCCAGCTGGGAGACTTAGAGCATGCGCACCGTTAAGCAGGGCACGGACGGGGCGTCCGTCGCGGAGATACGCGTCGCATGCGAAGCGGGCTACGCCACGGTAATATTATCTTTACAGTATACTATCTTCATACAAACGGTCGGAAAGCGAGTCGTACCTACGCCACTCGAGTTCGTGCGACTCTCGATGGGCACCCAGTCGCGAATGCACCGCAGCGACGACCGAACGGTGTGAATTGTTTTTTAAGCAGTTAGCCGTGCTTAAACGTGCGATTTGTATTGTAAATACTTGACTGAATTAAGTAGATATGTACTTACATAATTTTATATGGCAAAGAACAATAGACAATATTATGCTGTTTTTGGTTGCTTGAACTCTTCAATAACGCACCCAGAGATATCATATTTTAGATTACCTGAAATATTGGAAAGGTAAGACTATAGAATTTTTTTTATATACCTATCTACTAGTACGTAATTTGTTTTTAATATTTAGGTATTTCGATTTTTCCATCGGGCAAAATATCTGGAATAATATATAAATAAGTGGATAGGGTGAAAAAAGAGACAAACGAGTAATCTACCTACGCTCGCGTTAAAAACAAAACTACATAATAGGTAGGTAGTTTCCTAGACTTGGCTATCTACTTACTTAACTTAACTACATACATTATTGAATTAGATGAAATATCATTATGAAATAATTTACGAGAGTAATAAATGGTAGGTATTGTAGTGATCGATCGTTTCGGTAATTTGGAAAAGGGACGGATTGTTGTCAGGAATTGATAGATGGAAAATTATAAAATAGGGAAATTTGTGCGGAGTTTAAAAAACAGTATTTTGTTTGTTGATAATAATATGTAATTTCCTGAAAATAAAAGTGTTTCAATGACAATAATTAGTTTGCATGAAACGTTCCCTACAGTACCTACCTAGTAAGATTTACTAGGTAGGTACTAAATGAAATTAAAATACTGTAGGCGGGCAGCCCTACCGCGTGTATACGCCCCGTTCGGCCGTAGGCAGTTATTTCAAGGACAGGGCCGAGCCACAATACTGTATAGATAATATTACCATGGCTACGCCATCTGCGCCGCATGAAACGGTTCTATGAAATAAATACGCCGAGCTAGCTACGAGGACGCTCGCCCCAGCCCCCGTCGCCCTCGAGGCATGCCTGTCGCCCGTGACGTGGGATCCGCTACGCCCGCTCTTAAATAATTTTTCACAATAATTGTATACAAAATTAGCGCAAACAAAGCGTCAAATCGTTCATTGGCCACATGCAAGCCTGTTTTTTTGAGATATGAGTCAAGCATGTGACCAATGAACAAATTGACGTTTGTTAGCGCTAAATTTAAATTTAATTTTGAAAGCTGTACCCTTAGCACGAACCAAAATCGAATTCGTAACGTTTGCGAGTCCGAAATATCATTGTCAAATCTGTACTGATTTTTAGTTCTCGTTTCATACTTTGTCCCGCTGCTGTTCAAGTTTCCATACAAATTTGACATTGACATTTCGGTTTTCAAACTATTCGATATCGATAATGGTTCGTGCTAGGGGTACTGGTTCGACGAAGAAAATAGTGAAAGACGGTTCAATTCTCCCACCTGGTCTGGTTTTCCTCTACCATTACAGTCGCAAAAACACTCTATCCTCTCTTCCTTCCCCACACGGGATTCGGTGTGAAAATAGGTAAATATACATATTATAGTATCGGACCAAACTTACTCGAAGTCCTTAAAACGCGCGATATGGGTATTTTAAAAGAAGCGTCAAGAAACATCTTATATCCTCCAATGTGAGAAAGACATGTAGGTAGGTAGTTGATCTGTTGCATTAATTTTTACGATTTTAGTGCTAAACATTAAGTGGAGTAAAATCTTACAATGCTTTTAAAAGCTCTGTTTTAAAAGAAATGTTTTATTTTAAAAAAGAGCTCACAGATTCACTGTAGGAATGAAAATGGGCGCATACCTTCCCCTGGGCTGCCAACAGCTTGGCATTTATATGCTCGAGACGTGCAGTGAGGTAATAACTCATGCACATCACGAACAAATCCGAGAAATTGCCAATGAGTGTCGACTGGAAGTGTAGGAACTGAAAAAAAAAACAAACTTGTACATTGTCCTAATTCCAAAATTAAAAATAATTTTAATCCCTTATTTTGAACCTTTGCATATACCTATAAAACAAATTCATACTTACTGCCTATATTCACACTTAACATCTAAATAAGTGAATATTTCACTACAACCTACGTACGTGGCATCTATCATCATCTAAGTGCCTGTTCTCTGTCATTCTTTACATTCGCTCAAACAAATGGAGCAGCGCTCTGTTATCACTATTATTACAATTAATACAAAAACCTTCACGTTATACTCTAATGTCTTTTTTTAGCTATGTTATGCACGTGAAGAGAAACTTTCGTATGTTACCTCTTTTTATCATAATTTGGTTATGGGGCCAGTGTGAGATTATGCTTAAAATTAAATTTTATAAGAAATATGGAAGCCTTAGAGTAGAACATTGGTATATGCTCTAATTGGAAAGCTAATATTATTATCATTTTGCTAACCAAAATGGTATAATATAGCTTTTGACTTATTAATAAATAAAATTGTTTCAATAAACATTTAACATGCGTTTTACGATAATTTTATTATACAAAATGAATTTTGGATAGAAGAATTGTACGAAAGATTTAGCTAAAAGAACTTTATGACTAATATAAAATTTGAGAGCAGTTACTTATGTTAGCCTGTGGCTAATGATTCGTATTATGGTTGACATATCTCCACTACGCACCTCATGATTCGCTATATATAATAACCATACCATCAAGGCAAGAGTGAATAGGCGTTATTTGTGTTTGCATTCTCCAGCTTTAACCATACTATTGCTTACCATATGCCTATGCATATGCATATATATATATATATATATATATATATATATATATATATATACTAGCTGACCCGGCGAACTTCGTACCGCCTTAGCGTAGCTTTGATGCACTACTTTATTTTGTATAGCTGACCTATCTTATTTATGAGTACCTATTCAATTTGAACTGGAATCTATAATATCCTCCATATAAAAATGAATCCTTATTTCCCTGGTCTCGCCATACCTGAGGACTTTACTAATTTTTATTAAATAAAAAACAACATATATATTTTCATAATAGTGTTTATTCCATAGGGTTCAATTTCACTCATATTTTTACAAATAGCTATTGAACAACTTTGCATTTTGAAGTAAACACTGAGCTCAACACCACGCGCGCTCTAGAAAGCAACTAATAGTCTCTATACCCTTCACTGCTTCTCTCTATTCTAATGCTTTTTGATAAACTATACGGTACGAAGTTCGCCGGGTCAGCTAGTCCATAACCGCGCTTACAATTATTTTATTAAGTTTTTGATAAAGTTCGTTTTGTTTTAAAGACTAAGAAGTTTTTTGTTTGCTAATAAGTGTTTGTTCCTGTCACAGATTACCACAGATTTTTTTGTTTTAAATTGAATGACGTTGACATTTGTCAGCGCGGTTATCGATGTGGAGTCACAGATTACCACAGATTTTTTGTTTTAAATTCAATGACGTTGACATTCGTTACGTTATATTTTTCAATCTTTCTGAGAGATTTTCTTTATATTTTTTTCCGTAAGAACCTTGTACAGAGTATTAGAAAACTACAAAAAAAATCAGCCAAATCGGTCAAGCCGTTTTCATGTTATGTCGTGACAACGGAAAACGGGTTTCATTTTTATATATATAGATATATATATGAATAGTATTTTATAAACTATGGACTAACTACTTACAACTTTATGGAGTGGACGGTGACACTCCATAAAAACAAAACTACTAAAAGTAAGAAATAATGAATATTATTAACTTATACACATATATACATTTAAAGGCAAATTAATATTTGGAGCTTGTGCCTTGCATAGTGATAGAATATCTGAGTTGCCATTTACTAATTGGGTTAGCGTGGCACCGACTCCAAATGTTACTTTAATTTTGAATGTAGACATACTCGTAAATAAAGAATATGCATTATTTGTTATTTTTAGTCGTTTTGTTATATTAAAGTCGGTTTTGATATTTCTTTAAAAAGTGTTTTATTATTACCATTTATAAGCCAAAGTAACATCAATTTACTAAATTAAGATGTCTAAGATAAAAAGACGAATTTCAACCAGTAAAATTTCGGCTCTTTTGAAGTTCAAATATAAAATCTTAAAATTACCTGAGTCATAACGCCCAGGTAAACTGAATACGGTAGCTCATTAAAGACCCACGGGAAGAAATGTGTAACAAAGCCTTCATACAAGGCTTTGTCGGTCTGACAAACCATGGCACCCGCAAATGCAGACAGCATAGACAGTATGAGTTCCACTGAAAAAATAAAAACACAGATTTAAACCCCGGCAAACTTCTTGAGCACTGAGAATTAAACGTTTTTGTGTATAGTTCTAACCGTACTAAATGTATGAAACCGTTTGCGTCAGATCATAACACGACAAATAAGTTTATTTATACCTTAAAGCGCGTTTAAATACAAACTGCTTTGTAGGATAAAAATGCGCCATCGAACGTTTAAAGTTGAGGAGCTCGATATCGCAAGTGGTTAGCGCGTTCCGCAGCGATCGTTGAATTTAAGCAACTTTCGCAGTGGTCGGTCATTGGATAGGTGACCGAAAATTTACTATCTCGAGCTCCTCCGTGCTTCGGAAGGCACGTTAAGCCGTTGTTCCCGGCTGCATCTGTAGTCGTTAGCACCAACCCGCACTGGGCCCGCGTGGTGGGTCATGGCCCAATCTCCCTATTCCATCCATAGGGAAGCCTGTGCCCCAGCAGTGGGGACATTAACAGGCTGATGATGATGATGATGAACGTTTAAAAATCGAGTCGTCCATAGGCTCGCAGCACGAACTTCGCTAGGTCAGTTAGTTTATAATTAGGTCTTTATCTATGAAATTGCCGATTTTCATGAAATAAGTTAACGCCCTTTTTCCCATTTTATTTTTTATTTTTATTAATTAAAGTATCCATGAAATCAATGCATTTTTGCCAACGTAGTAGTACCTTATTGACGCACTTTATTGAAAAAGTCTGCTGGACGAGAGGCAACATATTCTGCAAAGGCATTTTGAACTGCCTCTCGGTTATTAAATTTATTCCCTGCTAAGAAGTTATGCAAATTCTGGTAGTAGGTAAAGAGTAGAAGTCTGTAGTTGCAAGGACTAGTGAGTACGGTGTATGACGGACCTACCCTAGGAGCATTGTTTAGGAGCTCAACCAGGACCTAATCAACTTCCGATTGTTAAACAGAATCCATTTTTCGTCGCAAGTAACAATGCGATTCAACATGCCTTCGTTTGTGTACCTATTGAGCAGTGCAAGGCTCGACTTGACGCGTAGTTCGCGCCCATTTGTCAAGCTTTGTGATTGTGATTGGCAAGGTAAAACCTTGCCAATATGTTGCAAATCGACCAATATTGTTTTGGTGCTAACATCAAATGCTTCTGCTAATTCAGCTGTAGATTGAGAATCACCAGCTTCCACAATCGCCCTTAATTCGTCATTGTTGACTAAAGTTTTCGAGTTCATTTCTTAGACCGAAATTTACAGAACGGAAGCGAATATACCAATAACGGGTGGTGCGAGCGTTAGTAGTGTTCGCTCCGTATACGTCTTTGATGTTGCGTGCCGCATCTGCTGCTTTGCTGCCACTACGGTACTATTCTTCATAATCACTAGAATTTTTAACGTATCCATGATGATGAAAAACGTGCAAATTCGCTGAAAATAGAACGCTATCCATTGAACAAATGACTAATTTTCAAAACAGAATTCTACGTATTAAATAGAAAAATAATTTGAACTTAGAATTCTCAGTGAAACAAGAAAAAATGGACTTGAAAAAGCCAGTATGGAAGAACAGCAATTTCATAGGCAAAGGCCTATAAATAGCAGGATTCTTTTACTTACAAAAAGCCAATACAAGCACGACAATACACGTGATATTGCACTTATTAATCAGAAGTCTATTAAAGCTTGGTTCCAATTCTTCGGTGGCTGCTATGTGCTGCACCAGTCTTGGCCAAGACCTGGCCACTTGAAGAAACATCACCATCGTAATGCAAGTGGCAATTGTGAATATCAATGGACCTGAAACAAGAGCAAGGTTTTTTTTTTTAATTATAAAGCACAGGTTATTTTGATCTAATCTAATCCGATCTTACTGCAATGAGGCGTGAAACAGGGAGATGTTATATCTCCGAAACTGTTTTCTGCTGCGTTGGAGGATATTTTCAAGTTTCTGGATTGTAAAGGACGTAAAATGAAATGAAAATGAAAAGTCATTTATTTAGTCTAGCCTAGACTTACAAGCACTTGTGTAGGTCAAGAAGCTACGCCATCGGTTCGCATAACTAAGGCGGGAGACCTTGAACTGAGAAGAACCAGCAAGTAACTCAGCAAGGGTTGTTTTTTTCTCTCTGTATATATAACAATACAGGGTGAAAATACAGCCCTTGCTGAGTTACTTGAAGGTTCTTCTCAGAGTCGTCAAGTTGAGAAATAACTTCAGAGATACGTCTGAAGTCACATTGCATTACATCATTTAGAATAAAGATATATAGTTCAATAAATTTTATAGTTACCATTATATTTAGTAAATAGAAATCGGCATTAGATAGGTACTATATTACTGATATAAAAAATTACTAATAACCATCAAATAACAAATTACAAGAAATACTATGTCCATGCATTACGATCATTTTGATAATCTTCAACTTTATAATAGCCCTTATTCGTGACGTGGCAGCAACATTAATGGTGAGTAACTAACACAACTTCGCTTTACCGATGATGTAGTAATTATGTTTTTCAAAGAGTGGGTCTGAATATGAACATGGATAAAACGAAATTTATGTCGAATGTCCATGTTGTTCCCACTTCAGTTGAAATTGGGAATACTGCACTCGACATTGTCGACCATTACGTTAACCTGGGACAGCCAATCCAATTTGATATGTTCAACTTTGAGTCATAGGTTTCTCGTCGTATTCAGCTCGGATGGGCAGCGATCGGGAAGTTACGTAAAATCTTTGCGTCCAAATTACATCAATGTCTCAATACAAAAGTCTTTGACCTACATAGGTCTGGCAACACACATGTGTTGCCAGTGATGACTTACGAAAGAAAACGTGGTCGCTTATTATGAGTCTTATAAGAAAGTTTAAGGACGCACAGCGAGCAATGGAGAGAGCGATGCTTAGTATTTCTCTGAGTGAGAGAATCAGAAATGAGGAAATCCGCAGAACTAAAATAACCGACATCGCTCAAAGGATTGCTAAGCTGAAGTGGCAATGGGCAGGGCACATAGTGGGGAAACCGATGGCCGTTGGGGCGGTTGGAGGCCCCTCACCAGGTGGACCGACGATCTGGTGAACATCACGGGAAGCCGATGGATGCGCGTGGCATAGGACCGATCGATGTGGAGATCCTTGGGCGAAGCCCATACTCGGCAGTAGGCGTCATACGGCTGAGATGATGATGATGAGCAATGTACAGGATTTATGAATTCTCTCTTCATAGGCCTGGTGAAATACCTAAGTCCTTTTGGGTTCCATATCATAAGAGCCAATTGACACCGGAAATGCAACGGCCGGCAGTGACGCGGCGAGCTGTTTGTCACTGAAAGTGATATGAAATAATTGAATGATTGTAAGTCTAAATGTTCTAAGTGCCATGCCATAAATAATATCAAAATGGGTCCAAATGCGTTAAATTGACACTTAGACCCTTAAGACTTACAACCCAATTTGGACTTCATTCTCACACATAAAATTCCAGCTTCGCTTGAAAATTTTCCGCGATTACGTGCGCCTTCTTAGAGCTTTTTAGGCGATGCTGATCTCCTGAGTATGTAGATAAAGTTTCGCTTTCAGTGAGTAAGTGTGCCCGCCACGTTGCTGCTGGCTGCTGCCATTCTGGTATGAACTGATACAAAAAACCGCAAAAGTTTTGCACGGCTTTTTAATATTATTTTAATACATGTATTAAGTACATTTCAAAATTGTAGACACAAATAATACTCACTGGTTCCATTTAGAGTAGAAACTGATCTGAAGATTTGGACCACACATAACATCACCATAAATATCTGCCCACTTATCGATAGCAGGGCGTAAACACATCTCCAGGATTTGCAAGTGAACCTGGTAACAGACAAATTCATTGTCCTAAATTCATTAAACCTAAGATATATCTTTATCACGATATATCTTAGGTGACCGATAAGCAAACAAGCACGCAGATCCGTGGATCATAGCCCAATACTCAGGTGAGTATTTACCCTAGATCCAAAAGGAGACAGATATAATGTATAAAGTCAAAAATAATGTATAAAGTCATTTAATGTTGAAAGTCAAATAGTTATAGTGCTTCGCACCCTGCGAGGGACTACCTATTTGACTTTCAACAATTGACAACGATCATTTGATTTATATTTGATCATTAAACAGTGTTAAGCCTTAATTTGAATTTAGAATTTTGATGCCAGTGGCTCCTAAGATTATGACAGACCTCACATCAGCTGCACTATCGCTGAACACTCCAGATACGGGTATCAATGAGAACAGTTGCCCAATAACCAAGGTTACTCGCAATGATTGTTGAAACGTGGAGATCCTGCGAACCGGCTCCGTTCTCAAGACATGCACCTTATTCTCTGAAATTAACGACCAAACTCAAAATTTAACTTTAGAAATCTGAAAACGATACCATTGAGTCGGTTTGATTAATCTGTTGTTTATCCGTCCGTTTATCCGTTATTCGATATCACGATTTCCTCGAATTCATTTCATATTACAGTTTGAGATGGAAATTGTAAAATAATACGAAACTTATTCATGATGTTAAAGCGGCTAGATGACTGATATTTAATGATTTAGTTTGTTGTTGTGTTGAAGAGTAAATATGAATAAATTCATTTTCATTTTAGAGTGACATTAAGATTGATACCTAAATAAATCAAAGTGACAAATTATTAAAAGATACGTAGTATGCATGTTGGGACGTTCTCGACACTAAACTATTTTAGTGTTGATAACATCTCACTGTTTTTTTTTATGTTAAAACAGGGGATAACAACCGCATAGCCACTTGCGATACCAAAAATATCAGTTGCACCGTTGCGTACCCTGACCAAATGCCCCATGGATACCTGGAACCTAACTCACCGACACAATGATCTTCTCTAAGGTTGAGGTTACTTCCATAGACGGGTGCTCCAATTTGAGCGGGAAATCCGCTATGCCCTACCTCTCTTAACATTGTCAATTACTTTTTCCAAAATGGCTCTAGTGTCATTTACATCGTTTCAGTGAGGTTTATACTCGTAAATAAAAATTTGGAGAGCTTTTTGAGAATAACTGAGGAACCAAACTTTTGAAGTAGTGGTAGTTCACGGTAGCTAAGGTCAAATAAATAAACACATAAATTAAAAATGAATTAAATAAAGTAGTTTATAATCTAACAAATGCTACTATCATAGGGTTGTCGTTGTATTTATCTCTGGTTGAAATGTGTGCGAGTACCAATAGGTAAAAATTTCAATATGCAAATCGGCCATAATCTTTTCCCACGGTCCAGTACTTCATGTCCCTGATAGATAAGCCTCAGGGTAAAACTTATGTCAATCTGACACAAACAAAATAATAACTTCTAAAATTTTGACTGCGAATAAGTTCAAGCAAATTTAAATTATGCTTGAGCTCAAACTGTGTATTAATCTAGCCACGAACGTAAGAAATATTATTTAGAAGAAAATATTTTAAGCAAGTCGAGAGCGCGCGAGAAAAGAATTTCACTTGCGAATAGTACAACAAGGATGAATGAATGTACGTTAAACTGATTTAATTTAGTTTAACTATGAGGACACGCGTAAAAATCTTGGGGTGTCCGGATGACGAAATAATAAATTATTCTAGTTTTGAGTTTCGCCAACTGGATACACGTGTGTCCAGTTTCTTTGGCCAGTTGTTGAATCCCACTACAACTATAGTTTATTAATTAAATTTATTTAAATAATTGTTCAACTTAAAATAAGAGAAGCTGGATGATGCAATTGATTAGTATTAAGTTAAGCAACTTTCGCAGTGACTGGTTATCAGATAGGTGATCAAAATCCCGAGCTGCTCCTCTGTGCTTCGGAAGATACGTTAAGCCGTTGATCCCAGCTGCATCTACAGTTGTCATGGTCCATGGCCTATTCCATAGAAAGTGAAAATGGACATTAATAGGCTGGCGGTGTTTATAAAATCATTATTATATTAAAAACAAAATTGCGGCATACAAGGGGATATTATTATACCACATACCTAACGCGTTAGCTACTGGACCATCAACCTGCTACTATGAAGCAATACAGTTAAAGAAAGGGGTGTAGCTACACTGTATTAAATCGATTCTCTTGAATTGATCATCAACAACATAATTCCCACTGGTGCTGGTGCTTTAATACTTCTCCCATACTTGTGCGAAGAAGATTTGGCTTTAATAGTAAATGCGCTAAAGTAAGCGTTTGAAAGAATTAGTTCTGTCATAATGATATAACGGGCTGCATGTCTATAGACTTTTTTTTGATTGTGTATACTGTTTGGTCACAGGTGACCTTTACAGCGTCACTTGGGGACGGCGGGATCCTAAGGGCACCTCAAGCCGAGAATTGGCGAGTGCCTCTAGAGGTATTCCAGGCGGATGGCACCTCCCCACGGGGAGTCTCCTCTCCGTCTAGAGCCTCTAGCCCACTCGAACCTGAGGGGGTCGGCTCAACTATACGGCATCTCTGAGACTCGGACCTCGGCTCTAGTTAGCCGTTGTCGTGGGGTGTCTATAGACGCTATCTTGCTACAGCTTGACTGGCGATTTTGACATGCATAAAAGAGGTTGTGGTTGTGGGAGACGATAAATTTGTTTGAGCAGCTAAAGGAGTTTACTTACTACGGAACTAATTTCAATTTCGAACGCTTATTTTAACGCATTTTAGTAGGTACCAAAGCTTCGTCACACAGGTGTGATAGAAGCAGCCCATAGTTTGGAAAATTCTCAGATTGTTGCATATTTATAGTTTAAAATAGGGTTTCTTTCTAATGCGTACTCACTTTTCGCCGGCAAGCATAGTAAAAACTGCCTTTTGATTAGTTTCTGTCCCATTTTCTATTTCCGATTGCCAACACAGGACAGCGTCTATTCTAACATGTTTGATTCATTGATTAGTGCCTATTTGTATATTAATGGTAGTTGTTTGCTTATTTATTTACGTGTTAATGATTAGGGTTCCCTTGAAACAAAATAAAACCGTTTATAAATAATAAGTTTCAGCATTTTTAGGGTTTCGGAGGCCACAACGTCAACAGGCAACTATCTCTTTTAGTTTCGCTATGCCAGGCCGTCCGTTCGCAGCTTAAAAGTCAGAGTTCAGTAGATCCCACCAGGCATCCGAACAGCACCATCTTGACTAGTGCGGTTGATATTCTTTGTATGGATTACTATGGGTATTCGTTCACTACATCGACTCCGTACCGTCACCTGATCACCTCGCTCGCAAACTGTCTCTGCTCAGGCGGCGAGTGGACAACTCAGTGACCACTCGCTGCTCGCACGCTGGACGTACGCGGGTCGCTGGTTGTAAACGCATACTCCTGAGTGGACCGCGCGCTTCCAGCGAATTGACAACACATTTCATTTTCTTCTTCATCAAGCGCGACAGCTATCAAAGCCACTTAAAGAAATTAATATTTTAACACTGGCGTCGCAATACATTTATGAAAATTTAATATATTTATAAATTTTTATTATTTTTAAAGCATGTAACTGCTTGATGTTTAATAATGCGAAGAGATGGCGCTGCCTTGCAGCTTAAGAATGGCTAGAAGAATTTCGACGCGGTCCGTGAGGGCCGCGGTAGCATAATTGGTCAGTGCATCCGCCCGGATTGCGAAGGGTGCGGGTTCGAGTCCCGTCTGCTGCCTGGTCCGCGTGGATTTTTTTTTCTAGTTATATTTTCTTTAAATTTAATATATGTAAGAAAAAAATTTGCAAAAAAAAGTCAAACCCATAACTTTAACACTAGATTTAAGAACAAGCTTGCCGTTCCATGTTTCAGACTCCAAAAATCAAGAGGTTCATTTCTGGGTTGTAGTATTGCATTGTTTAATAAAGTTCCCCTAGATCTGATCGAGCTTCCACAGACTAAATTTAAATCTCAGATCAAAAATACTCTTATGAATAAGGGCTATTATAAAGTTGATGATTATCTAAATGATCGTAATGCATGGACATAGTGTTTCTTATAATTTGATATTAAATGGGTATTAGTCATTTTTCATAACAGTTATATTGTACCTATCTAATGCCGCTTCCTATATACTAAATATAATGTTAACTATAAAATTAATTGTAACTGTATATTTATATTCTAAATGAGGTAATGGAAAGTGACTTCAGACGTATTTCT